GGGCGCCCCAGTGGAAAGCGGGGCGGGGCGTGTGTGGCTCTCCGGTCGCCCGCCGCTCTCCCGCACGAACGGCTGGAGTGCCCTCCCGGTGTGCAGGACTACAGCCCCCAGCATTCCCCGGCCCACGCGGTCGGATTTTGGGGAGGCCGGCCTGGAGGCTTCCCGAGGGATGCTTCCCACCAAGGCCGTGCGTCTCATTTGTGCGCCGGCTTGACCCCCTCCTTGGAAGGATGTATCGCATCCTGCGGTGGGGATAGAGCCACGGTTCGAAACGGTCCGGCCACCCTTGCAGACTCCACGCCCAGAAGGGCAAGTGCGTTTAAAATATGCAAGGAGGTGATATACAGGGCTGTGAGGTGAGGACTTGGCAAGAGACTGATCAGATCTGTATCTGCACGATTTCTCTGAAGCATCAGGTGCTCGCTGGGCCCTCTCCTGGTTCATTAACAAAGGTGGAAAGTGAGCAGCAGTAGCTAGGCAGACTGTGATGCAAGGTGCGACATTCTTTATCTTAATAAAATCACGTTTACTTTTTAGGAAACAGATGTGGTGATGAACTGTAAGCTGCCTGACAGCTTCCCAGTGCCTGTGGGTGTCCTGTGCTGGGCAGGTCAGGTAGATTGTGGGCCTCTGGAATCTGCCTTGGTGTCAAATGCAAAATGGTGGCGTGTGGCGGTAGTGGACTTCCACATCAGTAGAATTAAGGAATATGGTGTTCCCTAGTATATGGCTCAGACCAGGATTTGGTTTGCAGATCAGAATGGAGCTCCCAGCCTTCTGCACAAGTGCATGCTTGGTTCTACTTGCTATCCCCAGTTCTCTTAATCGCAGCAGCAGCCAAATTCAGAGGATGCCTGGAGGCCTTTTGTTGCTGCTATTGTTAAGCTGTTGGAAAATCTGTTGCAGGTCCCTTTAGTAGTTACTGGTTTGCCTGCTGTACAATCCTTGGGTCAGGGTGTTTCCACAAAGATTTCTGGTGCTTGAATGGAGGGGTGGGGGTGAGGAAATTTTGCAAGTGCTGCAGTTGGATAGGTAAATGTCTCAGGTGGTTGGAGAACCAGCTTCCCCAAGGTATGTATACATAATTTCATTACTATGTAGATGGAAAGGATTGCCTCAAATGCTAGGGCAGCTATACAAGATAATAGCTGGTGCACCTGCATGTGTGTGTGTGTACTCACGTACTCACTTTTTCGTGCTAGTTGGGTGAAATCTGGCTCTAAGAACCAGCATTTTTTATTTTTTAATTGTAGGCTCTTATTTTTTGGGCTGCATAAGAAGTTCCCTCCTTGCATTTTGGCTGTGATCAAGTGGTCAAGCTTTAGTTGCTGATTCTATATGCATGATCACAAATGTTCCAAATGTGGGTTGAGCAATAATGCTCCAAACCACGATCATACCACTTATGTTAGAGTCTCCTTAGCTGCAGTTTTAGGGACAAATAAAGGAGAACCAGTACCTGCACTTTATTCCTCCTTTATCTTTGCAACATATTAGAATGTTTAAATGACCAACTTTTGTTGAAAGATGAGCTTTGCTGAAGGAAGGTTTTCTTAAACAAGTATGTGGTGGTTTATTTAAAGGTGAGATACTTTATATAGACTAGACCGAAACTAATAATTTCTGTACCATTTTTCTGTCTACAAAGCACTTTTTAATTATTCCCTTGGCAGTTACCTTGTGGGGAAATGGAGGGTTATATCCCTCCATGGATTTACTTCCAACAGCAGAAGGGACTAGTGGCAGGATGGACGGCTCCTTCTTGCATAAGACAATCTCTTTCAGAGACCCGTGTACATGGGAGATAAACCTCTTGCCAAAGATGGTTATGTTATCTACTTCTTACATATTCCACATAAATTCTCAGGAAGTGATTATTTGAAGCCCTGGGCTCATGTTTGTGAGGACAAAGAGATATGAAAGTAATTGCATGACACAATTTCCTAGTGTTATTAAAAGGAGACAAAATGCTATTTGCTGTACTTCTTCTGTTGGAGAGACCAATACAGAAATGTATTCTCTTCGAGCTCCGAGTCATATTTAGAGATCAGGCTCTTTAAATGCTTTAGGGAGCAGGCTTTCCAGAAATGCAACCTCTTTTTCTTCAAAATAAAATGAAACGTCCTGAAATTTATCCTAACTGTAAAGACATGCAAGTTGGATTGTCACTTTAGCTGGCAAATGTTTATATGCATGTTTGAAAAATCTCAGATGGTTGGCAAAACAGGAAGGCTGTTTGTTTACAGCCATTCTTAGCTTCATTCAAGGCAGAAGTAAACACGGAGCTTTTAAATGACACATGAACAGTTTCTAGTCTGGGTATTGGGAATGTGTTGCAGACTGAAATAGGGGTCCTGGTTGTTAAACCTGGACATGGAAGCATGTACACGAGATACTCATCAGCAAGTTTTAAAAATCCACTCACGGCCTGTAGTGTTACGTAAACAGTGAAGTAATTCCATCCATCCAGAAGTCTAGAAATCAGGTCAGGGGTCTGGGTGATCCTCTCAGCGTTCCCTTCAAGATTAATGCAGCCTGCCTTGCAAGTGTCTCACGCTTTAAAGGGGAAGATCCAACTAATTTGATATATTTGCAACACAATCATCTAGGTCAGCATGATAAAACATTTTGCATTTTAAAATGCATTTTACTAGTAGTTTGTAAGGTTTTGCTTTTGAGATCTTGACTGCCTAGCCAACCTAGCTTTCATCCTAGCTAAAAATGTTTGTGCCATTACATGGCTGTAGCATTCAGACTTGTAGAAAAATTGAAGATGACATAGCTGAAAATTAACACTGTATGGTGGATTATATACAATTCTGCATGTTCACCAGATCCATGCAGCATGTCATTCCTTGCATATGAATGATTTATACCCTCAACAGTCAAACACTGGACCTTTGTTCTCAACTCCTGTGCTGAGAGACAAAGCAAGGAAATATATGGCGGTCTGTACACCATATGTGCATGGATTAGGTTTGTTCCAGAAGTTAATGTTCGGATACAAGTATTCAAAATCTTTGACCTGTTTGGGGGGAAATTGTTTAGGCCCTAGCAAAATGGATGGCAGAAAAAATTGGGTATTTTGACAAGTTCACCATTGCATCTTTGTTTATTTTAACTGTTTAGTCATGAATGGCCATTCCACAATAACATGGAACATTACACCATGGAATTGTGGTGCACATCGTTGAAATTCACTATTTTTACAGCATTCTATCAGTTACTTCAGCTATTCATTTTCTTTTTAGAAGGGAAGCAATTGCTTTAGGCTTGGCAAAAGCATGAACACTCTTTCTGCTTCGAATAGTTCCTGTTGGTGCTATTGTAGAAACAGATGTGTTTCTCAAAAGCAGCAGAAAATGCAACATTGAAAATCAGTCGTTAATGCTAATAGTCTACTTTTCTACATCTTTACAATGCATGTGACATAATGAGAGAGAACTGTATACCCGATGGTTATTCTTTCATATAACAGACTACTAGGTGAGTGGCTGCTTATGAACATATGTCAGAATGGAAGGTGTTTTTTTTTTTTTTTCTTAAGAGAGCTGGGACTACTTTTGCAAAATAAATTTTCCTTTGAATAGGGCTTTGCCCTCTTTCTTGGTAACTAGATTTGGTGGATGGTTCTTTTCTCTATTTTAGAGCAGATATACTGCCCTGTATTAATTCAATTCTGAACTTCTGCACGAGATGCTAAATCCCAGGATCAGTTTTGGAACACTTGATTGTGCATTTGAAACCAGGAATGGAGTGCTTGTTAGTATTTGGCTTTTTAATTTTCTGCTGGGCTCCTTTGCAAGTACAACTTTCCCTGAATGCTGTTTTGTGATGTTTGATGGTTTTCAGTCAGTAGTGCAGAATTGCCCTTTGTGGGGCTGGGCCCACCTGAGCATCGGCACGCAAGTGCATGGTCAGGGATACGCCGAGTCCTCCCTCTGAGGCTGTAGGGCCATGCAGTGCAAGAGAGAACTTGAATTTCATCACATTACTCAAGTTTCATCCAGCCACATAACGTTTTATTGACTGGAGAAATGAGGCACCTTTGCTGGCCATCTTGGGAAGTTATAGAGGAAGTGGAGGGGAAGTACAGCCAAACATTTTGCTTTACCAGTCTCTTCCAGGTACCAGCCCAAAAGCAGAGCTGTTTTTCAGTTAATCATTGTAGTGAGTATAGGTGATGAAGACAGACCGAGTTAATGCAGGTCTTAATACATTTGCAGGCACCTTTGCTACTGCTGGTTTAAATCAGTCTAGCTGGACAGAAGGAACTCTGTAAGAAATGTGCTTATGCACTATTGTAAGCTGCCCAGAGAACTTTGGCTGTGGGGCAGTATCAAAATGAAATTAATAATGATGATCGAAATGACATTAATAAGGATGATCTCTGTCCGTTTCTTTGTTTGGAACAAGCTATTCGATTTTCAAGCTAGTATGCTTGGGAGCTTGTGGGTGGGGAGGCTACAGTCAATTTAACTTTGCATCAGTAAAAGTAATTGTTTGCCTCTCAGAGATATGCTTGCTTGTGGCCTTAGTATTGGAAATTATTATAGCATGTGAGGACTGCCTTTTCTAGCTGAAACTTGTTTAAACTGAGTTCTGTTCAGTGGCATAATATATGTGCAGCTCCTTTTCATATAGATGTGTGCAAACTGGTTTGGGAAGTTTTCAGACAGAAACTAGCCTTCTTACAACAGAGTGAGAAAGATCTAAGAAGAATTTCCATACAAGGTTTAAGAAGTGCAGTGTCTTATTCATTGTGATTCGACATTCTTGTTCTGGTGGTGAAAAATATGAAAGCCCCTCGTAAGAGGTTTGGCTATAAATTTGCCGGGTTTCCTCAAGTAAGCCACTCCTTGTCCCTGTAATATTGGGGGTGGGGGAGAAGGATGATGCTGGCCTACTAGGGAGGGGCGATTTTTCTGTCCTCGTAAAATGTTCTTTTAAAAACACTTTAAATGTTATTAGTTATTTATTGGTCTACCTTCTGAGATCCTTGTAAGAATTAATGAGCTCATGCATGGGAGCAGTTTAAACATGTAGGGAAAGTGCTGTAAAAATACCAAGGCAGAATTCCATCTAGTGGCAAGATGATGTGGAGCTGGGGGCTGCACAGCAGCCTTGCCTCGCCTGATGCTGACAGAAGCGCCTCTTCCTGCACCCGTGCAAGGAGCTGCTGCATCTGTACTCGCACAGGTGTTAGATGGAGCCCCAGTAAGTTGAGGAAGGGCGTGCTGTGGGTAGGGCAGCGTTGATCGCCGTTGCATCCTCAGTGCCAAGACTGAGGCTCCCACTTTGTACCTGTGTGAGGCTAGAATTTAAAATCTCAAATGATAACCAGAAGCTTGGCAGTGCCTGTGGACACCCCCCAGGACATCTGGCACTATGTCCGTCCCCCCCACAGAAGATACACCCTGATTGCTCTGCAGACAGATCCCATGAATGCCTCCTCTGAAAGAAACGGGGAGGCCCCCTTCCCCCGAGAGAGGATGGGGTACATATAGGACAAGGAGCGTTAGCCATCCCTGGGTATCTAAGGGAACAAGAAGTACAGCAGCTGTTTTATCTACAGCGTAGAAATATAGTGGCTATTTATTGTTACATTACAATTGTTAGGACCCTACCTGTATTCCAAGATAATCATGGGGTGTTTGTAGCTTTATTGTCTGGATTTTCCAGTTCTAAGGTAGAATGGGCCAGAAGTATGTTAGGTTCTTTGTTGAATAAGGAATACCTTTTAACCACCTTCTATGACATGCCAATTTTGGGAACCTCAGGCTGTCCCCACATCTGAAATACCTGCCTGGATTGCCCAGAAATCTCTTAATGCCTGAAAGGGCACCAGCATGCCCTTTCCACTTGCTTTCACACAAGAAATGGCCACATTTAGGGCAGAGAAGACTGTTTGTGGTGGCAAATGTATTGCAAGTGGTGAAGTGCCCCAGTGCTTTGTCTGTCATTTCCTGAAAACATGAAACCCGATCCTGCTTCTTCAAGATTCTGTCATTCTATTTTTGGTTGTTTGTTGAAAAACGGGAGCTCATCTGATCACGTGCTTCCAGTCATCCTGGATTTCTGCCAGCAGAACAGTTTGTTTTGCATACAACTCCTGCTCAGTATGATTCTCTCCGGTCTGTCTCCTTTGAGTGCTTCCTTCCCAAAGCGCATTGTGGCCAGACTAGGACAGACGAATTGCATGCTTCTGAATCCGGGCAGGCCGTGCCAGTGTAACCTTGTGCTCTTCCTTTCTTTTCCAGTAGTATTTTGCCTTTGAGTAACTGCCCTCAACTACAGTGCTGCAGGCACATTGTCCCAGGGCCTCTGTGGTGCTCCTGATGCCCCTCACCCACTGTCGAAGATCCCCGGTGGGCGAGGGGTTGGTAGGGATCCTTCTCTCTCAGCTTTGATATATAAGGTAAGCCAAGTTCCATGCCTAGAAACAAACTACTTTTGGGGAGGGATAGGAAAGTGTTTTTGGGTGTTGTTAAATGCTACTACTTTGTAGAGAATGGTCTTGTGTCCTTGGATAAGCAAGCCTCAAAAAACAGAATGGATATTTTTTTACTTTAAAGCTTTTCAAACTGTACAAATCAACATTTTCTAGTGTTTATTTTTGAATTGGAATTGTTTGAGCTTTTCAAAGAAGGGACTTAGGATACCCTTTTGAGCAATCCCTGTGTAATTGTTCTCATTTTTTATTATCCGAATGAATTAGGAAATTAAATGGTATTCTGGACCAAGTTAGTTGGTACTGATTGCATACAATGGAGAAAACAACCGTAGGTTACAATTCTCCCTCTGGGTTCCTCCGAATAATCACCCAACTGCTATTTTCCCCAGAGCTGCATGTTTCCATAACACTTACAAAGCTAGTGAATCAAATCATAGGACACGCTTCTGAGTGTCTTATAGCCAGGAAGGAAGAACACAGAGACAACTGGATTACTCTTCTAGTTCTGCAAACAGTTACTAGAAAGGCTGGGCAGCTGCAAAGCCACCTGAAGAAATATGAAAAATAGGCCAGCAGTAGTTCTTCGAGAAGCATTTCATGTATTGTTTCATCCACTGCCTCTCTGGCTAGGGTTGATAGGGGTTGCAGAACAACAGCTGGGAAGCCATGTGGTCCCCATCCCTGGTGTACAGTATATGAATTCTGTTAACCACCAGCAGACTTGAAAAAAATGTTTTGCTATGTAAGTAGAGATTGCTTAAAGGTTAGCACCTTGACTTGGAGACATGGCGTAAGGCCTTCAAAATGTATAATTGTGCCGTATTAAAATTTGCTTGAATTGTAACTGAGTAACTTTTCTAATTAAGTTGAAGTATTATTGACTTGAACTGTTCTAAGCAGCAACTTAGTTCCCATAGCAATTAAATAACTTCACTTGCTGCTATTTACTACTATTTCCTTTGTTTCAATACTTAAAAAGTATTTTTTTCTTCCTATGACATTGAAAGGATGAGAAGCTCACTGTTAACCAAGATCTTCCAGTGCATGATGGGAAGCCACACATTGTTCACTTCCAGTACAAGGTTACGGAAGTAAAGACCTCCTCCTGGGATGCAGTGCTATCCAATCAGAGTCTTTTTGTGGAAATCCCTGATGGCTTATTAGCTGATGGGAGTAAAGAAGGGTAAGAAAAATGAGCAACTTCAGAGCTTTTTAAGTTTCTGTCTGGGCAAGACTCAGTGGTCCAATAGATATCATGGTATTTGTTAAAAGGTTCGGATAAACAGTTGCACATTAAAAAAAAAAGTTCCAAAGCGGTGATACAAGATGCTTACAGTGGCAGCTGTTGAAAAATGACTGGAGAATGGCCTTACTCTTGCATTATTATTGCTACTGTTACATTTCATTTATATCCTCCCACCTTTTTCCTCTCCTAAGGACCCAGGGAGGCTTACATGGTCCTTCTCCATTCCATTTTATCCTTACAAAGGCAACCCTGCAGGCCGAGTTTGTTGACCATGCACTAAATGCAAGCTAGGGCTGATTCTCTGGGATATACAGGGAGGGCCAAAAGTAGGTATACAGGACCGGCCGAGTCATGCAGGACCTCACAGTGGATGCATTGCATGAGTTCATCTCACAAGCATTTATCAACACAGGTGGAAACTGGGATTTGTGTCACAGTGTTGGGGACAGTCCCCGGGAATGTTGCAATGTGGATGGAGGACGTTTCAAGCTCCAGAAAGACTAAACCTAACCTGATCGGTACTGTACACTTACTTTTGGCCCAGTCTGTATTGTAGGGAGAGGAAGTCAGTGTTGGTCTGTATCTTGTATTGTTTTACATGCTGGAGTTTGGGCTCCCAGTGTGAACACGGGGGAACTGCTCCACTCACACTTAATGTTTGATGTCTAAAGGCAATGCCATAAATCAAATACTGGGGCTAAATGTTCCAGCTCATTCATTCCTTCCCTCCAACACCATTCTTCAGGGACTGCACTTTCACTGTCAGCATGGTTTAAGTACAATTGCATAACCGATTATTTTTAGCTAGCTAAAATAAGCTGCTTGGAGGTTATAATTAAAATGGATCATTATCATATTAACAAAATCCCTTCCAAGTAAACCTCTGGCTCCTGCTCCTGCTCTCCATTCTTGTGGCCGCTGTTTGCTTAGGAGTCGATGAAAGCTTCATTTCTAGCTGCTGTTTTCTGGGCCGGTGGCAATGCTCCCGGGTGAAGCGGGGCTGTTGCCTCCTGCCATTCTTACACAGTATTTCAGGAAATCGGGGTGACATTTGCACATAGTTTCCAGCATTTTGGAATATGTGAGGGATCTGTAGACAGATCTATGTGGCGAGTTTGAGAAAACTGGGGAGCCTCGGTGCTCATATTAATCAGATCTGCTAACCCTGACCTCTGTCTAATACTAGGAAGCTTCCCAAGGCCTGGCTGTGAAGTGGGTAGGGATGCTTGAAGTTTGTGAACTGATAGCGTATTAGTGTTCCTTTCTGCTCACACTTGGGCAACAGGCACTCAGACAGACAGTAGTTGGGTTGTCATAGTTTTGACAAAGGATGGTGTCCAACTGTGGGTTCCAAGTGAAGCGGAAGAAATTGGAACCGGCATCTCATTCTGCTGCTCAGATGTATGCCATGGGACTTTTTATTTACAGAATTCAACAGTGGACCTGTGCAGAATCCCTTACCTTCCTCCCCTCGGCACTGCTATTTTATGCAGCGCCTACCCTTTGTGCTGATTGGTGGCAGTGCCAGTCCTGTTAGATTTCTGCCCATCATCTCCCGCCATGATACCCCTAGATAAGGCTTTCTCTTCTTGGCACTCCTGTTTCTTCCCTATCAGTCTGAGGAAGAATGATATCTGTTAGCGGGCCATCCAGTTGAAGACAAATACAGTAAGCTTAAGGAATTGTCTCTAGAAGTTTGCCTTTATACGATGTCCTCTTTTCTCCCCTCCTGTTAGATTATTAGCACTGTTGGAATTTGCTGAAGAAAAAATGAAAGCAAGTTATGTCTTTATTTGCTTCCGAAAAAGCAGAGAAGACAGAGGTGAGTGCCTTAAACCTTATTCTCCATTCCCTGCAAGCGTCTTGCCCACTATTCAAAGCAGTTCGTGCCCGTGGCTTCTTCAGCCAGACGATCCAAGTTTAGTAACTGATTAGTAGACTTGGTTTAGAAAGGATTTGTTGAGTAAGAGTGTGAATGGCTCTTGGTGGTGCTACAAGGTTTCCTTCGATGGCAGGACAAATTATAGCACAATCCAATTTATTGCCCAGTTCTGAATCCCATGGTGCTCAAATGGGGCTCCTTCCTACGTAAGCATCCTTAAGGTACCTACTTAAATAAGCATTTGGCTGGAAAGGGAACAGCGTTTGTCAGCTCAACGTGATTGTGGAGAAGCTCTGGTGTGCCCGATGCCCAGGTGCTTATCATTTTTAGGAGAGGGTGATGAACTGGCCTTTACCCTATGCCAGTCTTCACGTAATGCTTTAAGAAGCATATATGCATAATTAAAGGAAGTTTGGGGATTGGGTGTAAAGCGGATGCAGCAAATTGTGTTTAAAATTATATTGACTTTGTGTTGGCGTAGTAGTTACACCCATATACAAATGCAAATCCCGTTTCTGTGGAGGTATTTTTTTAAACCCACCTCTGTCCTTTCAGGGTTGAAGAGCCATCCCTCATGATTTAGCTTCTCTGGAATCCAAGGAGTTTGCATAAAAGTAGTCTGACAAACAGGGACATGGATGGTGCAGTGGGTACTTTATCTGACAAGAACTATTCTGAAAGGCAGAAATCTGGCATCTGGCTCCAAGATTCTAATCCCATTATCCTTGATTGTACCTTTTAACACATCTAATTTTGAAAATAGCTATCTGAACAAAGACATTGGATGGTTAACAGTTTAGTCCCATTACTATTGCCTGCCCAAATTACCTTTTTTAGGGTGGGTTGGAGAGAATAGCACTGGAGTGTAGTAGAATGTCAAATCCCAGAAGTCTGCAATTGCTCAACCAGATTGTAACACAGGATCCATCCACCTGGGCATGTAAAAGTGCAGCAAGCCAAGCAAGCTGCAAAGAACGGTCAGCGTCAGAGAGAGGAGTGTGCTGATTTCCAGAAGCCTTAACAGAAGCAAATGTTGTGCTTTGTGTGATTGAAGTGTGTGGACTGGTGTATAGCTGAAGGCAAGCCTGTTTTACTATCTGACGTTGCCAATCTTTACCTTTACAGCTCCATTACTGAAGACATTCAGTTTTTTGGGTTTTGAAATAGTGAGGCCTGGCCACCCCTGTGTCCCATCGCGACCAGATGTGTTGTTTATGGTGTACCCCCTGGATCAGGTCTCTTCTGATGATGATTAGAGCCAGCACAGCACTTCAGTGGGAGCCGGACATGCTTCAAAGAGGAGAGGGGGCTAAAACTCCTCTTATGAGGAAAGGAAAAACAAAATTCTTCTGGACTGAAACTGCATTTCTTATTGTTAGAGTGACCTGTATATCTTCTGAGTTGACTTTTCCATTGAAATGTGTTACCTAGCAAATAATATAAAGTCTGCACATGTAATCGCACAATAGTAAATGGAAGGTAAATGGAGCCCTTTCATATGGCTCGGTGGTCTGCTGGTTCGCCTAGTGGAGACATCCTCTCCGACCACGTGGGGTGCATAAGGAGTCCACGGGTGAAGAGGACGGGCTTTAGGACTCGTTAAATTAGTGTTGGGCTTTCTGTTTATTTGGTTATTTGGCTTTCATTTTAAATTACTGTACGTTAATATGTTCAGGCTCTTAAGCAGGGGTCATGCTTTGAGTGTAGCGATTTGAGAAACATTAACACTGTCTAGCAAACCGTAGGTGGCACCACTGGGGTAACCAACGCTGTGGGTTTCTGAAAAGCTTTGTCCTCTTCTAGCCTTTTCATTAGGTTAGTATTAACACTGCATTAGTGCAGCTTTCAGTGGAAAGGGGGCATTCGAAGAAACATGTGAAGCTGGCCCCGCTTTTGAGAGAAGGACCTGCATCCGCACTCCCTCTCGAAGGGCCGCAGTAGTGCTGCCTTCATTATCAAGCCTGGGTACAAGCTTTGAGTGCAGTGTCTGCACAAGTGCATGCGGCACAGAAAGCAGAGAGACAGGTCTTCACATCTCGCTCCCACAGCCTGAGGTGCAAAGCCTTATGGGTACAGCTCGGCTAGATGCTGATGTAGCTAAGGGATTCCAGAATGCGTATAGGCAACTTGATTTGACCCTTTGCTATTCTTAGTCTTTAATCCTATGCCCTCTCATTAGGAACTAAGTCCCATGATGCATAGGAGCAAACTGTTTAGGAAGTGTCATAATTTTAGTTTACATGGTCGAAAACATTCATGTCTCATCCTTTGCTGAATGGCCTTCTTTTGGATGTTATGACAACTATCATTGCTTATTTTTCCTTTAACAGCCAGATTCTTCAATCGTAATATACAATTCCAACACTCTGCTTGTCTCTGTACTCATCTCATTCTCTATCAATATTACCCACCATTGCTCCTATCTTCCAAAGAGGATGTGGCTATATGGATTTGTTTCATTGCTTTCACCAACACTGAGAATGTATCAACTGGCTATTATGGAAAGAAAAACACACGTAACCTGGGAGACCCCAAGCCCATGTCAGCCAAGGGCCTGTTACTTCTGTTTATTCTTTATGTGGGGCATCTCTTAGATTTTCATTTATCTCACTATCTTACTCTCAGTACAATTAAGGATTCCTTACCATATAACTAAGATGCTCCTATTCAAAAGACTATCGTCAGCTAAGCTCCTTGGGCCTTTGGCAAAGAAGCAACTAATGGGGCGGGGTATGGGAATAGACTGGTGCTCTCTCTCTCCTCTCATCCTTCCATTCCCAACAATCTCACACCTGATGGCCTTGGCACAATCAGGAAGACACACACGTACGTACGTACGTACGTACGTACGTACGTGTGAGATTTAAAGATCTAACATCTGTGTCTAGTTCAGATACAGCAGGAAGAGGAAAAAACATGCTGTTTAGTACATGTTAACTTTTTGCAACACGCAGCTATAAGCACTTAGTATGTTGGGTGCCTGTATTTAGTGAAGTGCCAAGAACACTTGATTGCTACACAGAACAGTAGCTTGCTTACCAGCCTGCACTATGTAATAAGCTCCTATTTGATAAACGGGGGTGTGGATGCAGATGTAGGAAAAAGTGGGTAAAGCTCATAGAAAGTCTCAATTACATTAAGCTGTTTCATGAAGTAATTCAGTTTGAGTTGTGCTGTTGAGGCCTTATTTTAAGATTCACTGGCCCTCTGCCTGCTGGGATTTACAGAATGCATTCTTGGCATTTTGACATTACTTTTGTTTGCTTTATGGACTCTTGGATGTCCATGTGTGCTTGCTTTAGCTGGTACATAAAAGTAACAATGTTTCTTCTGTTCCTGGTAGCAATTAATTATCAGCTAGATCCTAAATTACACTTGTCCATTAGCGGGGTTACATCAATTACTCATATTAATCCTGCAGCTTTTAAGGACTTCTTACATTCATGACCACTGATTTTTAAATCCCCAGCCAATGGGAGATGGTTGTTCTGCTACCCTATATTTACAATTGCTTGTCAGGTCTGCTACAAAAGCAGGACCTAACAATTTATGCTGTGATACCACAACATGCCTTTCTCCAGTGCTGCACAAATGGTGTTCTTCAGTTAGCAGTACATGTTAAGATCCTTGCTACTCCATCGCTGAGAAAGTGGGAAGATCCACAGACAGGATACAGCTACGGAGAGAATCCTCAGTGGAGCTGAACAGCGGCTCTCTCTGAACTCTCTTCTTCCTAGATCAGTTTGGAGAATGGGGTGATGAAGCAAGCAGTCAACCCAACAAATCCAATGTGGAACTTGTCGGGGACTACGGAATGTGCCGGCTGCCCGAGTAAGGGATGTGGTTCCACCTGCCTCCATTCCCTCTTTACTTCACATGCCCTGTGGCAACACTTACTTTTCCTCCTGTTTCTAACAACTACTACATTTATCTCGTGTGTAAAAGCTATCATTGCTACCGAAACATTTTTCTGTATTTGCAAGCTGGAAGATGATCTCTAGTGGCATACATACATACTGAAACGCTTTACCTGTTGTTTCCTTCATGGTGTTGGTAGTAGATAGTTTGCTAAACTCACCTTCAGGGTCTTTGTTCAGTAAGTTTAGGGCTCTTTAGCTAAGCAAACAAGGTATCAGAAGAATATACAATTTTGATAATGGCCACCAACTTTAAAATATTAGACAAATTTGTGGAAAAGCATTAATGGCCATTGATAATGATTCATAACAGTTATTTACCATCTCTGTTATCAGTGGTAAGATACCTTGGAACCAGTTGTAGGGGAACAGGCTAGGAAGAGCACCGTGTTTCATATCTTGCTTTTGGGCTTCCCTTAGACATCTGGTTAGCCAATATGGGAACAATTTCTGCTTCATGAGGTTGGACTTTGGTCTGATGGAGCAAAACCTGCTTTGTGAGAAAGCTCATCTGATTAGCTAGTGTTGTTTTCCCCTTTCCACTGCCTTTTGCTGTGAAAGTCTAGGAAAATACAACAATTAGAAAAAAGTTCCTCTGTTCTCTAAAGACTCTCCCCTTCCTGAAAATCAAGCAACTTTAGACTATAGAATACTTCAAAAATTTAAGTCATTTATTGTAACCCGGACTTGACTGCCCTCAAATGATTTTTAAAAGCTATATAATAAGATGTTAGAAATGTAAAATGCCTGGAAATGCTTTTTAAAATCCTCTTCTTAACATTCTCAGCAGAGTTAATGCTTCCATTCCTAATTAAAACTGATCTTTTAAGATACATTTTACATTTAGGAATGCTCTAAGTCATGAATAATTTCACCCTAACGTGAATAGAGCCACTATATCATATATGCATTTGTGAAAGATCTCCAGATGACTGGAGAAGAGCTAATGTCATCCTCATCTTCAAGAAAGCAACGAAAAAACCTTGGGAACTGTAGATCAGTTGGTCTGAGATCAATCCCTGGGAAAATTCTGGAGCAGATTATAAAGCAGCCACTAGATGCCAACATGGATTCCTCAAAAACCAATCCTGCCAAACTAACCTGACTTCATTTTTTATTAGGTAACCTCCCTGATGGGCTCTAGGAATGCACATAAAAGCGTTGCTAAAGTCAAGGTAGAATGACAAGGTGTCTCATCATCTCCTGAGTAGCAAACTAGCCAAAAGTGGGCAAGCGGGAACAATGATCAATCCTTAATCTTCCTTCTAACTAACAGAAGCACCATGAATTCCTAAGAGATCACCCGAAAGACGGTTGCTCAGGCTTGCCTAGTACAGACAAGCCCCACAAGTTGCACAATAATAATGCAGAATGGATTTAGAAAGGCTGAGCGTAGACGGTGCACAACCCTGCACGGGAGAATCAGAGCTGCTAGCTTAATGGTGCCAAGGTAGTGCAAAAAACCCACAAGTGCTCAGCATGGGGAGACCTAAAGAAACCAACTGCCCTTTTTTGAAGACAGATTTGCTCTTACTGCCTCGAATGCACAGAGGTGGTATCAACTGGCTTTTCTACACACACACAGCAGTGTGTGCATATAATCTGTATTAAGAACGAGAAAGGCAATCGTGTATCCCAGCCTTCCAAAGTGCTGCCCCCCAGATATTTTGCTTACAAGCCCAGCATGGACAGTGCTAAGAGATTCCAGCAGTTGTGGTCCAAACCACCAGGGAACGGGTGGATAGACGGAAGTCCCAATTTAAGAACAGCCAATCCCAATGAAAGGGAAAATCAAGCTTTGTACCCACCAAGCAAATCAAGGACTGTTGCCGAGGCAGCTCTTTTTACAAGCATGGAAGTGCTCTACCTAAATCAGGCCAGCGGCTCCTTAACTCATTTAGATTAACGCATTCCAGGCTTATGTTTCCATAAACTCTCCCAGCCCCTTTAAGCTCGAGGGATGGGAGGAGAGAGTGTGGTCTGTCGCACTTGCCCTCTTCTCCCCACTGAGGCACATCCTGGCAGATCACTTTGACCCCTGCACTACACGAGGCACAAGGGCCAGTGAGAACACGGGTGTTGCACCTTAATGTCTACACAGAATGGGCAGGTCTTGCCTTTCCACCTGGCTCTCAAGCAATTTCCCCAAGAAAACATGCTGGTGAGAAAAGGTGAAAACTAGAGGAAAGTGCTCCCTTCCAGGGCAGCCTCAAGCTCAGGTTCCCCACTGCAGCTGCTGTCAGGACACGAGAGGCAGGCTGGGGGCAGAGAATTTAGGGTGCATCTTAAGTGGCAGAAACAGGAAACACAAGTGGGGTACTGCAACCCCCTCCCTTCCTGGAGCCAAAGATCATGGCATGCTTTGAAACAAAGTCTAGCGTCAAATAAGCCTAACCAGGAACGAGCAGTCTCTCTTCTTCCCCGCAAACGGGCTAGATATTGTATCTCCTGTTTGTATGAAACCAGCAGAAGCCCCAAGCTGGGAAAGAAACAACAACAACAACAGATTTCAAACAATTCCTTTTTACAGTATATACAAAATCTGAGAGGCAGAGAGGTGGCCTCGCACAACATGTGGATAGGAACAGAAAGACAGAGCTGGGGACTTGCAATGGTGGGACACACATACAGCACCCGCTCCTCTGGAGCCAGCGTGGCTGGGCAAGGAAGGCCGCCCATGCCCCCGTTTGCAATTCAAGCCGAGCACCCTGCAGGGAATTCCTACAGATACGGGCCGAGTTTCAGCAAGGACCACTTGGCAACGGGGTGGGGGAGAGAAATCCACACGGGCATCCAGTGGTGTGGGCAACGGCCTTCCTCTGCTCGGGGCGGGGCGAGCTCCCGGAACCCATGGGGTGTGTGGCGAGGCCCTGGAGCACCACTGGGGATGCCCTGCACGGGCAGCGCCTGCAGCTATGACCGGCTTTCACGGGTGAGCAGCCAGTTGTCAGGCCTGTTGCTCTCCCTCCTATCAACCCACGAATTCCCACATCCACACCTTATGGCCCCAGGCTCCCATCCCTCCACTCCCTGCTGAGAAGGGATGATCTTGCCGAAAACGGGAACCAAGAACTGCACACCTGAAGTTTAACCAGCCCCATCTTTGCCCTCTTGTGTTAATGAAAACAAGAATTGGTTTTTGAAGGGGCCGAGGAAGACGGGAAAGACCAGGCAGACAGCAGCTTGCCGGTGGGGTGGAGCAAGGAGACTGCTGGGCAGGGTGGAGACCCGTTCCAGTGCGAGCAGGCCAGCCTGCCAGAAGGCCCCGTTTTATGCAGAACTGAATGTACTTTTGTGCTGTTCAACGAAGCATCTGCCACTGCAACACACGAGTCCTGCCAGCAGGGAGAGAGATCAGACGAGTAGCCCATGGCCGGGGAGCAGGGGGGAGCAGCAGGCTGAGAGGCAAGTGCTACGGAGTTTGAGTCTTCGTCCTGGGTGAGGAGCACACTGCTGGTCTGTGCTCGCTGCAGGCCCTGCTGCCCCCCTCACCACCCCTCCGCGAGGCAGGAGCATCAGCTCTTCCCTGTGCTCTGTGAGGAGCCCGCCTACCTGTTTGTGCCAGGTGACCGCTTATCAGTAACAAAAAGACACTGTCTGGATGCTCTCCTTGCCTTCAGCCGGTCCTGGAGTAGCTGGTCTTGGCTGCTGCCCAGGAGCCAGAGCTGCAAATGAGGCGTGGGGCTTTGTGCCCCCTCCCCCCCGGCCCTTCCAAGCATCCCGTGAAGCCACACGGCTTGACCCCCCACCGTGAAGTCCCCACTCCAGAGCAGTTCTGGAAATTGGCCAGTCAACCCCAAGTCAGGCGAATAAATATTTCTGCAAGTCCCAGCTCCACAACTCACACACACGGGGCTCAGCTTGTGTTCAGTAGGGGAGGGGGCAGAGTCTGCCTCACATTATGGCAGGACCATCGAGCGGAACAATCAACACCATTCAACTGATGTCTAATGCAATTTCCAGCGCTTCCTCATGTGAGCCAGTCACATGGCTTGGTATCGCCCAGGTTATCGGATCACATCATGTCCTGTGGGAAAAGCGGAAGGAGAGAGACTCAGCACCGGCAGTTTCTGCTTCAGCCACAGGGAGGTGCTGCAGCAACAGGAAACGCTCACTAGACCCAGCGGTATTTCCTCTCCAACTGGCAGGGGCTTGGGAGGTTCTGGAAGGCAGCTGTGTCAGGCAGAGGAGAGGTGCCATGCCACAGACGGCATCACCCAAAGAGCAATTTGTGCAGCCTCCCGATGCTCAGCAAAGGGCTACAAACCACAGGAAGGGAATATGACTGCTGCCTGCTGGGGGGAGCGAAGAGGGCAGGACGGACTCAGGTGGCAAGAGAAGCCATTCATGGAACTTCATGTGTGTGGAGCCCCTTGCTCTGCCCCATGGGGCTTGGCTTGATGCCACCGATACTGCCAATGCACCGGGCCGAAAATCACGCGCCAGCGGGCCGAATACCGAGAAACACCCGGCAGCCTGGATGGACCTGCCTGGCAGCCCCGCCTCCCCCGTTCTCCCACCCGCTCCTGGTCAGGGGGCAGCCTTACCATTTTCACCTCCGGGGCGGGGGGTACAAGGAAGGAGCAGAGCCCTGCTGGCTGGCCACAATGGCTGTCGAAGAGAGACCTGCAAGCAGAATGGCAGCGCACGGTGGGTGGCGAGCACAGGGAAGCCGGCGGAGGGGCCAGCGCAGCCCTCAGCAGAGGCTTCGGCGGGGAGCCTCCTGTGCACGGGGGAGAACGCTGCAGGAGAGGCTGCAGCTCCGTGGCCGAACGCCCGTCTGCGCTCGATGCAGAGCCCCAGGCTGTCGCCGGCTTCTCCAGGAACGGCTAGGAAAGGGTGCTGCCAGAGATGCTGGAGGGCTGCTGCCAGTCCCTGCTGGCAGCACTGGACTATGTGAGGGTCTGGAGGCTGCTTCCTGTCCGGGCCAGGCGAGGCAGCGGCAGGGCACTTGGTGCCGTACTCTCCACGAAGGTGTGACTGATGGACTGAAAGACCGGCCAGCTTTGGCAGAGCCCCAGACCCTGCTGCCCCCCCACCCCCACTGCAGAAACACCACTGGACGCCCCCCCTACTCTCACCTGTTGCATATGGCAGGTTATACTGGGCTGGTAGCAAGGAGTAGCCCAGGTGGTGGTGATGGTGGTGCGTGGACATCAGGCGCTGTGAAGGAGAGGAGCGGGGCCGGTCAACGCCTCTCTCAGCGCCACTGGCTCCCCCCACACTGCTGCAGCCTGCATTGCTTCCTCCCACCCCACAGCCACTGCGCTCCTGAGGGGCCTTGTCACCTGTCTGCAAAGCAACCAGACAGACAGACATGCTGAAGTCCGGCTGGGAATCGGCAAGGAGAGCAAGCCAGAGCCGGCAGGCTGGCCGAGCGAATGCCCGGGCACCTTCCCTGTGTGCCGGGGAAAGGCTTTTGGGACCCATCTCACACTCACACGCACACGCACACGGGCTGAAGGGAACTCCAGCTACACACATGCGTTAGTGCTGGATTCCAGAGCCAGCCACAAGGCAACGTTGGCAGCCGGACAGCTCAGCCGCTTGGACTGCACTGAGCACAGACATGCATTCCATTCCTTAACTGGAATTTGGCCCCCAATGCTTTTTGCTGAACCTTCCCACTGGGGCTCGGCCGGTACCAACATTCACACCTGAGAGCCCATGATGCTGAAGCTTTTAAAGACACACTTGGTTCTCTCGGGGGCCTGAGGGGATGATTACCCACCCCAGAAGGTTTTCTTCCTTTTACAGGGTCATTCTTCACACAGTTTTAGCTCTTCTACCTTTTTAAATACAATTTTACATTGTTGTTACTGTATTCTACTGTATTGTGTTTGTGTACTGCTGTAAACTACCAAAAGAGCTTCAGCTATTGGGCAGCACAGAAATGACATTCCTCCTCCTCCGCACCACTCACCGTTGGGGACTTGCTCTTGTAGTGGCTGGCGTGCTGCTGCAGGATGTCCAGGGCCTTTGACTCGGAGCTAGATTTGCAGCCGATACTGGGACTGGCGCGGGATTTCTCACTTTCCTCACTCCCAGAGGATTTACTACCATATGGGGAGAAGGAGTAGCTGGAAGGCAGGTAGGAGCCTGTGGAGGAGATGCCAGTCTGGACTGAGCCACTTGCTCCAGCAGAAGAGCAGCCGCCAAACAGACCAACGGCCAGAACCACTCCTCGAAGAGATTCTAGCAGCGAGGAGCAGGAAGCCCTGGAGTGGAGACTCGGAGGAGGAAGGGGCTTGGAACCAGGGCCTGAAAGATCTGCTTTTTAATACTCTTAGAACCAAACAGGGCTCTGGCTGGAATTTCTAGGGCCTCCAACTACTACAGAACACCAGAAGGATCAAAATTAGCAAACAACTAATCTTGGCCCCTTTGGCATCCTTAGCGATTCCAGATGCCATTTTTAAAATGTCTTTATTTTTAATAATTTGGCTGGTGCAGGGTGAGGTGACAGTAGTCCTACAAATTACAATGTACAAATAATCTTTCAGGGGGAACACTGAAATTCTGCAGTTGTTTTAGTTTGTTTCAAATGCCAGCATATATATTCTTTTTATATTTTTAAGATGATAAACATTCCGGGTTCTCACCCGAGAGGTTACAATCCTACAGTGCTTTTCTGAGACAAAGCTGCACTGAGTACAAGGGCTGCCTTCCAAATAAACGTTAACTGAGACTGCACGGTGGGTCACAAAGCTTCCTTGCTGGTCTCATCCAGGAACGGGGAACGCCTTCCCTGGCCCCACCGCTTTGCCCTGACAACTGAGCCGGCGATTTCCTCTGGCCTTCGCATAGGTCCCCCTGCCACCCCGGCAATTCTAGCGGCTTGAAGTGCCTCTGCTAGGCTCAGATAGTAGCAGCACGAACTTTATACTACCCACCCCTGGAGTGGCAGTCCCCGAGAGCTTCTCCAGAATGGAATCCAGCCCAAGGGTCGAGAGGCTCCCCACACACTCTATTTGAAGGGGGTTCCCTTTTCTGCATCTTAACGCTGGGGTGGGCGCTGCACCGGAGTTGTTTTTCGCCAAGCGCTCCAAGGATGACTGCGAGAGCTGCTCCCCGTGGAGGCTCATCGAGGCGCCACCCCCTTCGTGACGGGAAAGGTCTCCGGCATCTCCCAGGGGCCCGTCAAGCTGCCTACCTGGGTAGTTCTGCATCATGACTGTGGGCATGCCACGGTAACTGGGGTGGCTGGGGTCGTACGACTGGCTGTACGAGTAGCCGTGCATGTAGGGGATGTAGGACTGATGCTGGCTGAGCGGGGAGGACACTGGAACATGGGTGCTGGGCCGGGCCTCCTTCCCCATTAAGCGCGACTCCTCACTGGTGGGCACTTTGCAGTCAGAGCTCGTGCTTTCCTTCCCCTCGTCCTTGGAGATGGATTCTTTGCTGCGGCTCCTTTCCTCCTTTAACTTCCTATCCCTCTCTTCTTTCCACCGCTCATCCTCTGTTTTGATGTCAGAATATTTAGCAGGGTAAACATAGGTCCACATGCGAGGCTCCGTTTCCTGCAGCAACATGGAGACATATCAGTCAGGTGTCTAGAACTTCTGCAACATGAATATTGACATTTCGAAGTCCTGGGAATCTCAGCTCTGATTTAAAAATAAGAGCCCTGTAGATGCAATTAAAGAAGAAAAAATTCCTCAAAAATGCATGGGCAACATCAGCCAAAGCCCTACACCTCAGAGAACACAAGGTAAAATTTTGGAATCCGTGTATTCTTCTTTACACTGCTGTTAACTTTTGTGATTTAGATGCCCTGATGCACTTTTTCTCCACCACTAAAATCTCTCTGCAGAAGTCAGTATCTTAAATTCTCCCAGTTCTGAAATGTAAGTTATGCCAACACTCAGGTAAAATCATACTGTTGGATGTGTTAACACTGCAAAGTGTGGTATCTCTGGCTGCATGACTGGGTCAGGGTTTTGTTTTTGTTATGGGGCTTTTGTTCTGACCTGGCGGCTTCATAGTTTGGAGGCCTTGCCATTCCCCCAGATGGAAATGCACAGCCCCCAGGCGCAGGTCCTCTTTTCCGCTACGCTCGCGCAGGAGCCATGCACCAACTTGTCCAGTGCTGGTGACAGAGCGCCCAGTTCAGTTCCTGTTGTCACCCAAGTGCTCAGGCCCCGAGTTGGGCATGAACAAGCGACAGGCGCCCCAAAGGATACAGAAACAAGGCAGGTGCAAGGGACCACAAAGGCACGTGCTACCTTGTGCAGCCCAGCACAGCTCTCTCCCTTCCCCATAGCATCTTCCACCGTGTAAGCAGCCTGTCAACTTGATGGATGCAGAGGCCGCTGCAGCTGACCCCAGCCAAGCCACATCCTGTGCGCGGCGGCTCCTGTGCTGCTTCTCCTGACCCTTCCTTACCAAACTGAACACGTGGGGCACCGGGTCAGATGTCTGTGCAAAGCCTCCTTCACTTAGTACTAGTGAACTCATGCCAGTATGCTCAGCTTGTGCCATTGCGCTGCTCACGGGCAAAGTGGGACAAAGTGACACTGGCCCTCACAATACCGACCAAACAGCAGCAATGGCTAAGTCAAAGAGGCAGGTGGTGTGCTGCTCTTTGGGAACTGCTCTGAAACTTCTGGCTCTTCCCTGCGACTGCACTGGCCGTGCCCAGAGAACCGGCGTGCTGCGCCTCTCAAAGCCCATCTGAGAGCAGGAGGATCACCCTCTCATGAAGGGCTGCCAGGCCATAACTCAGTTCACAGACTGGCAGAGGCTTGTTTGGCTACCTAAAACTCAAGGACAGATACTGATTAAAAACAAAAACCAATTAGGCCTCAAGCATAATCAACTGGGCATTTATCCAGAGGTGTACTAGTTTGCACGTGGCCTTGAGCCAATCATCTAAATTTATTAGTAGCATCCAGTTACCTGTGCAAAAGATGTGGGATCCAGCAAGTTAGGAAACTGGGCAAACACTATTAAGAATCCGTGCCCTTCCTGGTTCCTACCCTTTTCTAGATTGTCTGTTTACCTCAAGGTGGAAAGTCAGCACTGTGGCTGTCCCCTCCCCATCTCAGCTACCCAACCCCTCTCCATAAACCCCAATTTACCTGTCTGTACCAGAGTACCGGGTCCACCTCAGCCTGCCGGCCACAGTCCAAACCTGCCTTTGACTCTGCTGTCTCCTTGCCAAGGTGGGTATCGCTTAACTTTCCCTTGAGGCCTTCTGTGGTCTGGCTTTGAAGCTTTGAAGAATCCTCCAACTTGGGAATAATAACTGACTTGGCCACATCCGCACCCTGATCCTTGGCTTTGCTCAGTCCAGATTTAACCAAATCCGTCAGGCTGGGTGCTTTGGTCAGAGTCGGAGGAAGAGATGGCTTCTGTTTCCATTCCTCTTTGAGCACCACCTCTCTCTCTTTCAGCCCAAGCTCCACCTTCTTGTCCATCCCACGCTGCTGTTGCTCCAGGCTCTGCCGCTGCTTTTGCTGGTCCTCATACTGCTGCCGGTAGGTAGGATTGGTGCTGAGGAGGTGTGCATGATAACCTTGCTCACTGTAGCCATAAGGAGGCACGTAGGCATACTGGTTATAGTAAAGCGACTGCATGTACATATTGGACCTTTGTTGGATGACAGACGGCTGCTGATTAGAGGGGCCTAGCTCAGCCTTCTTCTCCTCACAAGCTTCATTCTTCACCTTCACCTCTGGGCTTGGTGGCTCCTCATCCTTCTTCAGCTTCAGGGCCTGACCATCTATGGTGGCTTGGCTGTTGGGATGAACAGGGCCAGGACTTGACTGAGCGTAGCCCGGTGAATAGTAAGCCTCAAAGCCTTGATAGTAAGGAGACTCCTTGTTTTGAGGCTGAGAGGGAAAGAGGGTTTTTTTGGCCCCTTCCTTGGCGAGCTGCTCTGGATCCTTGGTCTTTATGTTGTCCGGCTTACCTTCGCCATCCTCCCCTGCATCCGAGATATCCGAATAAGCCGGGCTGTTGGTTTTCACAGAGCCAGCTTCTGCACCGTTCTGGGTGACAACATGAAGCGGAGTCATGGTTTGTGTGGGTGCTGCACTGTCGAGTCGGCTAGCACCCCCAATGGAAGGGCTTGGGGCGTTGTCCGTGAAACTGTAGACCTTGTCTGCCTCAGCCTTGATACTGGCCAGGCGGCTCTGGTGGGGGTCCGAGGAGCCGTTCAGCAGGCTCTCCCCTTTCGCCCCAGGCTCACCGGGCTCCCCCCGGAAGGGGCTCTTGCCTTCTTCAGAGCGACACACTTTCCCAGGGGTCAAGGGGCTCTCTGCCTCCTTGGAGTCCTTCTTCTTCTTGTCCTTCTTCTTCTTGTCCTTGCCAGGAGTTAGTGTTGGGCTGACCGTGAACGGCTCTCCCATTACAGTTGGCTTGGGCTGGATGGGCTTCAGCTGGGGGCTGTTGGGCATGGCCTGGACCACCGTGGTGGTGAGGCCTGCGGAGGCGCCAGGGCTGGCGGCTGTGAATGTGGCTGTCTGGAAGGTGTAGATCTGCGGTGGGATGGCTGGGGCAATAGGTCGGGCGGCCTTGATGCTCTTTGAAGAGATCTTTTCGGGCTTGATGCTGACTGGCTTCTTAGCTTTCTCCTTCTCAGTGCTTCTCTTCTCCACTGAGTCAAAGCCGTCGTTGCTTGTCTCATCAGCAACCAAAGGGCCATCCTCAGAGCCATCATTAGACAGAGCACCAGGGTCAGGGTCACCCTCAGCACCCAGCTTCTTCTTACAAGCGGCCTTGGGGTTAAACTTGCTTGATGGGGAGGGGCTGTGGGGTTCTGTCAGCCGCACTTTGGGGGTGGCCGATCGAGCTGGGGATAGAGAGCCTTTCTGGCTACCAGAGGCACCATTGCAGCTGCCCAGGTCAGCTGGGAGGGATGGCTCCTCTCCATACTCGCTATCCCCATCAGCCTCAGGCTTGCTGTCGTCGTCAGTATGTGCGTGGGCCTGGTGGTACTTCAGCCCATTGATGTGCTTGTACTTTTTACTACAGTTGGGGTGGGGACAATCAATGAGTATCGGGGAGGGACAGTTCCTATCTAGAATGGCCGGTTCCACCTTGACTGTTGTGGTGGCCGCCGCCGCCGCCGCCACCTGAGGCGTGGCAGCTGAGCCCATGGAGTTTGTCCGGACACGCTTGCTTCCCTTTGAGTCCTCAGAACTGGAATTCACCTCCATGTCAGAGAGAGGCTTGCTCTTCCGCTTGGTCACTGATGAAGGGCTAGCCTTGACGTCTTCGGATGTACCGCTAGGTGGGAGGCGGTGCTCCGAGGAGTTCTGGCTGCCTCGCCGCCCTTTGCTATTGGCCCCTGCCCGAGTCTTGCTGCTGTTGCTGGTCCCTTTGCTATCCGAGGCTGCTGTGCTTTCGTTCATTGGCGGGTTGCTGTTGGGCCGCATGCGCTTGCCCCTCCCTCGGCCATTTCGCATCTCTAGGTCACTGGTGGGAGAATCGCAGAACCTAGAAGACAAAAAGGAAGGCTCAGGAAGTGGCAGTCATCCCGCAAGCCCTCCTTTCTGTATCACTGACTCCCTCTGGAATGTTCCTTTGAACCTATCATGGAATGGCTGAGCAAACACGAGCGTCTGCAGCAGATGCCTCCTGCACTTAACTACAAGTATACTTATATGACACTGGTTGGGTTCACCTGAAGAAGGCAAGTAGGACAAGCAGAGGCTGCAGTGGGTGCTAATCCAGGGGTGAGCAGACCGCAAGGTGCTGGATGTTCTTTTTAGCAACCTGTGAAACATCCTTAGAATCCCAAGACACTCAGCTTTGTATATTCCTGAATTCCAGAAACAGTTATAAAAAGTCCCCACTGCTATAACTGTAACACTTTAGCCGTTCAATAAGCCACCCCACTCCCTAGTCCTCTAAAGCAGATCAAAAAAAGAACACTGTTAACAGGTAAAGTCTCTTGGTGAAGGGCAAGGACAGTAAGCAAATTCAGGTTCCCTATAGAGAAGTTGCATCTGCAGCAATCAGCAGAGACTTGACAGTTGTCCACGAAGGGGGGGGGTGTGTGCTTCACCCTCAAGAATCAAGGCTTCCAGGATTAAGGCTTCTGGTCAGATCCAGAAGCAACAGTGGCCACAGGAGAATCCAGATTTAAAGCAGATCTGTCTTCCTCCAGAGGAAAGCAGCTGCCTCAGCCATTCCTCGCTAATGCAAGAGAGCGGGAGTAGGAGATGCATGGTCTAAGTGGCAAGAATGTTAGATCAAAGAAACTCAGTGCGGCTCAGAATCAAAGCACCTGTCCAAAAGCTCAGTCTTTCCCAACTTGGTGCCTACCAGATATTTTGGACTTCAGCTCCAATTAGCACCAGTCTGCATGAACAAGGGTCAGAAACGCTGGGAGTTGTAGAACAAAGCATCTGGGAGGCTGCTCTAGCAGAGCCCCATGAAGCAGGCGGCCAGTGAAGAGGGTAAAGCCCCTGGCAGCAGCATCTTTCCTTGTGTGTTACCTGGGTGGTGCCCAATCATGCTGGGTGCAGTCCAGTAGAGTCCCCACATACGTCTTATTCCTCCAGGTGACATTTACCACCAGCATGCCTGTGAAAGTAAAACAGAGAGCTGTCAACACCAATCCCTTTCGGACCAGAAAATGCATTTTTCTGCTAGCAGTGTTAATGCTGTATCAATTTAAAACAGAAAACACTTGTATCTTACGAGCACTCCGAGGCCAGCTATACTGATCCTTCTAGTTTCAAAGGTTTTAAACTCATTCGTGATATTCCTGCCTGCAGATCTGGTTACAGGCTGCTCAGGAGTTGCAAGTATTTGAGATTACCGGCTGCTGGAAAATAAGTCCAGGGTCCTTTTTAATCTAACTTATTCTAACTGAAGTAAAGCATTTTCCTATTTTAGAAGTAAAGGCGAGTGCTCTTTAACAGCCAAAGGGTTCGTCACAGAAAGATGCCTCTGGGGTCTCTACTGCTGTATGTTCTATGCAAGGCATACTAGAGGTGCTTTGTGCTTGAAGCTGTGGAGCACAAGATGACCGAATGGAACCGGTGGCCTAGAATGGCTTGATGGCCAGGCTAGATGTCCAAATGAGAGCTCTTCAATGGGAGGCTATGGATTTTAGACTATTAGCCGGTACAGGGAAAGCTTGCTTTTTCTTTGATTTGGGAAAGGGGCTATAGCATAATATTGTGTGTAGATGAAGACCCAAGATCAATACCCAGTCCCTCCAATTAAAAGAGAACTGGTAGCAGGTGACAGGACATATTGCTCCCTGTGAACCTGGAGAAACGCTGCTAGTCCATGCAGACCCTCAAGTCCAGGGAGCAGATCCAAGCCCTCCAGTGGTCCTAGAAGGCCAGGCTCCCTTTCCTGGTCTAACCTCTTTTCTCCCAACCACTGTCAGTTAGAATAGAATTAAACTGCTGGAATGAATAAGGTTCTGCACCTCTTGAGGAGACAACACTAGGCTAGACAGACAGCCGGTCTTGCGCGCTGCCAGAGCAGCTTCTTTTCCTGAGCACATGGACATAGGAACTACCTGCCTGGCACCCACATGTACGTCCTATTGCCAGCTTTCCCTAAGAACTGGAGTTGGTTTCATTGGTATGGCAGAAGATTAAATTACAACTAAAAAGGGTCTCCTGTGATCAACAAGCCACTTATGTTCTAAGTCTGAACACAAAGTACACATACATCCAAGGCCTCCAGCTTTCAATAAAACAGCTGTGCACACCCATTCTAGCCCTCGTGATCGTCAAGACATTTAAAAGGCATAAACCCTGGTAGGCACAAGTGGGAGCCCCTCCGTGAAAAGCCTCCTTGTACCTCACTGCCAACGCCACTCTTATGCCTGCCACTGTGTCCTGCCTTGCACCCTGCCATAAAATTCTGGTCCCACAGAACCTCAGCTACCAAGAGGCAGTGTGCAGTGTGACGGGGGGTTGCAGGGAACCGGTGGCCTGGGCAATCCGGGTCTTCGTCCCCACTGAGCCGTGAAGCTCCCAGAGCATCTCTGGGCCAGCAACCCGCTCTCAGCAAAGTCGTCGTTCGGATAAAACAGAGCTACGGAAGCTGCCTTAGGTTCCTTGGAAGAGGGAAAAGGGTGGGATAGGAATGTTCAGTAATATGAAGAAGAGGCCTGGAATAAGATATGCAAGCTGAGTCACTTTATATAAAATAAATACATTTCTTAAGTTTACAGAAAGGATCAATTAGAACCTAAACTTCCTTGTTGCAGCTTATGAAGAGAATGGCTTACATGCTTCTCCATCAGAAAACAATTATGCTAAAGAATGTGATGCTATTAGCAGAGTGAACACAAGTGAGCGTTTCCTCTCCATGATGGCTATTACTGCATCAGTAATTCACATATTCCAGTCCAGGCCTACTAAAAGGGCGCTTTTATCTGGGCGAGATAAACTCGGCAAATAACCATCAGGCAAACATGCAGCTAAGTGCCGCGATATATCTGGGCGTGGGGGCGGGGAGGGAGAGCTGCTTAAAACGGGAAAAATGTTCAAGCAACCCAGTACAGCAGGGCCTGAGGCACACACATCAGTCATGGCCCTTATTTCCCAGCAACTGTGGACCAAGAAGGATACCGTAACTGCAGCCAGCACTTCTCCGGACCTGATCTGAACTACACTATCCTGTTTCTTGAACCCAGAAAAGAAACTGCCTACATTGTGAAACTTGAAGTAAGCACTGTTTAAAAAGACACACCAGAAAAGAGGCATCAAATCAATGCTAAAAGGTCCCTGCCCAGTATCTAAGGTGAGAACAGGAATAGCTAAGCCTCCCATAAACAGAAGAGCAGTGCTTAAGAAGTAACACAAAATTTTGCTCAAGCTAGTCAAGTTAAGCTCCAAATACAGTCAAGTAAATATTTCAAGTTTTCCTTCTCTAAACACGCAGTGGTATGAAATAGGGCATACTTTGTGCGCCTTCAAAATGTTGGAAACTGTGCTTCTCTCTCCCTGCCCCACCATGTCTTGGCTGCTTGCTGTGAGAGGCATGTGCACCCTAGGAACAGCATGGCATCATCACACCTCCATGTTTCCTGCTTAGAACAGCGAGAAACTTGTGGTCCTCCAGAGGTTCTGGAAATCCAAATTCCAACAGCCTTCCCAGCATGGCCAATGATCAGGGATAATGGGAGTTAAAGTCTCGCAACATCGGAAGGGCTGCAAAATCCCAAGTCCAAGCCTGGAAGCATGTAACCAGTCCAAATAGATTCCATCGCTCCGACGCCTCAGTTTCTGTTCACAACCTGAAAAAAAACCCTGCAAGTTGCTAGAATCATTATTTTGCAGGGCTGGACTGGCAGGACAATGGAAATTTAAAAAATGAGCACAATTTGTAGTTATACAGAAAGCCCCCTGGTCCCATGTACTGCTCAATTCTATCAAATATACTGGGTGAGTGACCCTTTCATCCAGAGTGAGTGGCCTTTAGACTGACCCAGTGAAAAAGGAAGGATTCTCTTTGGCCCCCCTGCAGGCAGGGCTGGTGCACAAAATCCCTCCTCAGTGAAGCCGAGTGATTTAGAGGCATCATCTGGGCACAAGGCAATTGCAGGAATCATTGCCTAGAGCTCCGCCAAAGCAGTGTGGACTTGGCAAGCATCATGAGAAAGAAAATAGTACTATGTTCCCTGCCATAGGCAGGACGCCAAAGGATCTGAAAACACAGATTTCATACAGCACAGAACCCCTGGACTGGAGACAGGAGGTGTTAAAGTTCATATCCCAGAACAGCAGGCAAATAAGGAGCTCTCATTTCAGAACTGGAAACAAATTAGGTGGCGGAACAGATTCCTCCCACCCCCATTAATGAAATGCAGCAGCTCCCTGCCTACTCAGAAGGCGCTCAGCAACCTGGCTCCTTTGCTGGCAGTACGGCGGCTTTCTAGTCCCCACAGAGTCCTCCCTGATGGGCCGGGAGCTCTCCTCCTGCAGGTGTCACCATCTTCCAGCAGGCACCAGCTCTTCAATGCAAGGCGGCTTTGTAAGGCTTTCTGCTCGGGCTTCACACGCTGCTTTCCTGCGGAGCCTTACAAGTTAATTGCGTGGCAAGACGCCAGCAGCTGCTTCCATCTCTGAGCTGGCAGGTCAGATTAGGAAGGACGTTCTGGCAGCCTGCCCACTGCCATGATCAGAGAAGAAAGATGAAGAGCTCTGTAAAGCAGAGACCTCGGCGGTGGCTGAGCTGCCCCCTCCCTTTGCCTGCTGCTCTGGCAACTAAACAAAGCGCAAGACTAATTGCAACTCCTGCCTGACACGCTGTGTCCTAGATTTCACCCACCTCTATCGATCTGCTCCGCCCCAGCCCCTCCCAGAAAACACGGAATTATTTTGTGAAACGCACGAGAATCTGTGGAGCAGGCTTTTAACCCCACTGCTTCTGAAGAGCCACCCTTGCTGGAGTGCGAGGCTGTGTGTGAGGGGAGAGCACCACGCAGAGCGAACAGGAGCAATCCAGAGCCACCACCAAGATTTACTGTAATGCTGGCGAAAGAGAGACTTCATCAAAGCGCTGCAAAGCCACCGCTTTCTGCCGGCAGCTCTACTTCTTATGCTATCCTTAAGCTCTTACCCAGCGATTTCTGCAGCAAGCCATGATTAATAATCTCAATTTTTATAGGGCGAGAGAGGCGCAGCAGCTCAGTAGCGTACCTGCTGGGCCAGGATATGCTGCCTTGCTGTGGGCTGCTGAGAGATGCCATCTAGCGCAGCCTTCTTCCTCTTAGCCAGTCTGAGTAGTCCAGAGAAGCCAGCTACTAAGACCCAGAAAGTACCGCTTTAGACACTCTTCCTCTCTTGGTCATAATAGCGACTGCAGTGAGAGGTGGGGGGCACCCGACAGACTCCCCAGGAGAGCTTCTGCTACGAGGATGATGCAGTTCCTCAGAACGCAAACGGCCACCGAGGAAAGCGACTTCTCCCACACCCCGTTCCCTCTGTGACTGCTGTGTGAACTGGACACAGAGCCCAGGCTCGGTGGGCCCATGGCACCCTGCGTCTAGAGAGGGCACACTCTCAGTGCCATACGTATGCTTACCCCGTGTATATGCCTCAAGCGCATACACTCATCCATCGTCACCCCCTTTCCCTGTGTCGCATCCCTACTGAAGGGCAAGTCTATAGGCTTGGCTTATTATGTTCAGCAATGGCAATAGGCATAGTGAGGAACATATACTCGATTCCAGCACTGGATTTCGCATCAACTTTTTTTTTTTTTTAATAAACATGGTATTTCCACTGTTAGGAGGAAATAAACTGACGTTAAAACCTCTCTTCTTCATCTCTGTCATCGTCTTCTCCTTTCAAAATATCCCCTTTCACAAGACTCTTCTTAGTACCTAGTGCTTATAGCCACTAGACCATATGGAAGGGTCAGCTCTCTCTTTCATGAAAAGATATTAAAACTGCTGGCGCTATAACCCTGCACGTTTTCAAAGCGCTATGTATTTTCTGACTTGCACACCACAGCTCCTTTGCCGAGTTTGAGTTCTGGTGGTGGAATTTAATTATGTAAAATTGAAAGGGTCTGTAAACAGCTAATCACCACAATGGCTTCACCTTCTC